ACATGCAAGCAACTAAATTATCCATTTCTGTTTTAATTGCAAAAGCTGAAAATAATTTTCTTACTGAAATCTCAAAAGTATTAGGAAGTTATAGTTTTCTGTTTTGCTAGACTCCTATACAAGTGAATAAAAAATATTAATTTCATATCATATTTTCAATTATCTGAAAATCAGAGTGGCGCCTGATGTTTTTCACTAAAATCATTTTGTGTAATTTGAATGAAAAAACAAACTCTTTGTTGCCTCATTTTTTAACCAATACATCTGACACACAACTGTTTGAGGTCTCATTCCGATTTTTTAAATTCTGATTACAGGGAAAACGATGACGTCACGAGTCGCAAGGCGATTCATCAAACTGGGCACTCTTTTTCTCCCAAGAATAAAAATCCACATTCGCTGAATATCCCTATCATCTTTGTAAATGAAAGTGTCACAATTCTTGCGATGGACGTCATGATACAACCAATCCTCCTCAGCCGATTTGGCGTTGTCAATTTCATCCATGGGCAATACGAAAACCTTCCCGGATGGGATTTTCCGAAACTAGATTCGAATTTAAACCCTCAGACTCTTGGCGCCTCATTTGACAGAGAAACATCCAAATTCATAATTCCAAATCCCCCAAGATTAAAACGGGCCTTTCTTTCTATATCTGATTTCAGGAAAACATTAATATTTACAGCGGAATCGTCAGTATCTTTGTCAATTTGAAATTATAGAATCACGGTAAATTTCTGACGCAAGACGCGGTTTCTAAGATTAGGATTCGTGTTCCGTGTGCCTGTTCTTGGAGTAAACGTCTTAATTTCTGCCAGAGAAGAGTAATCCATCAGTTTCAAATTAAAAATATCAAAACAATGCTCATGCAAGAATAACAATATTTTGTTTTTATCTTCACGCTGTTGCAGTGATCTTGCACTAACAAAACGTTAAAATACATTTCCCTTTCTTTTTGTTTTATTCGAAGAGTAAAATAAATGGATATGTTGTGAATGCTACGTTTTCTCTTAATTTCTTTCTCATATATGTTATCAATTTAGAGCCACGAAAAAGATGACTGAAACGAAAATGCATATAAATATATATTTACAATCGATTAGTTCAAATTTATTTGTGGAGCTTATGTTTTTTGTTAATATATAACAACTTTTTATCAATAAGAATGTATATTTTTTTATTAGTTTTGATTAGTGATTAGTGTTCCTCAAAACAAAATTACAGCAAAATATTTTCTGATGGAATGCAAATTTCGATGTATTCCACTAAATTTTGAAATTTGTAATTTGAGTTCAAATAATCTCAACGTTCCTAGTTATTGGCGCACAGTAAACATCTTTGCCGTATTACTATTGTTAAAAAGTACATCTTCCTACATGTATGATGTATCTTAAGTGCATTTTCAGTATGAACGAAATCCAAGGGCTATACTATTAGAAAGTATAGTTTGATGTCTTTGAGAAATGCATTGTAAATGTTTTCTCTAATCTCTACGAATGTGCAATTTCTCTAATTTGCATTCTATACTAATCCGGTCATAACTATTCTTCGATAATAACATTGTTCATTAAAAATGATATATGTTCGCGTTTGTAATTGAAAACAAAGAAAACAAGTAATGGTTTCGTTCAAATTGTACCTTTTTTGACAAAATGTATGAGACAATATCTATTTATTTAGTGAAATAGAATAGTCATTTGAAATATCATCGTCCGATTTATTACACAGTCTTTCCTTATAAATATATATTTACATTCGAAACTGATACTATTTCAATATTTATTCCATTTGATATTAGACAAAACTTTATAAACAATGAATGTAATTAAATTCAGTCGAAACGCTGAATATTTATAGCGCGAAATCAAACACTGAAACACATTTACCGATTTAAAACCGGTAATTTTGATTAACTAAATTTCTTTTTTTTTTCTTCACACGAGTGACGAGACTGTCTTTGACGGCGAATCACCATTATTTACTGTGCGCATAGCGTTGGCTATTGTTTAGCAGTAGAAAAACTACCTTGGGTCAGAGTTCAGTAAACAAGTAATAAATTTCCCTGTCAAATCACGGGCAAATTGTTTGGCTCGTGTCAACATATGATACGGCCGTGGGACCACCCTTACAACACAGATAACCCCCACCCAGAAGCTGGGAGCTCCACCCCTCTTTCATTTCCGACAGGTGTTTCACTAGGGGTGAGGTTAGTCTGCAGGGGGTAGGGGTGGGGCAATAACCAATGTGAGGGAAATTGTAGGGCGAAGGAAAAATATAATTGACACTGAACGATTGTAGCCAAAAAATATTGTGTATGAATTTTGTTGCGGCGGGGTGGGGTGGGGGGGGTGTTCTTTTTTTTTTCGAAGCAGTTATATTTTCTTTAATATATTATTACAGATATATGATAAGAGCTGGTGTTGTTTCTTGAAGATTGGTTTAGAATGTTTATTTTGTCGAAATATATTTCCATGTAATGTTGTCTTTGTTTGTAGGAATTAAATTTTGAAATATTTGTTGGGCGGACGATATCGTCATGCACTATACACAAACTGAATTAATCATAAGAAGTTTGTGAATGCATTGAAACAATGACTAGTTGACTGTTAATATCGGTATATGTACTTCTGATTTCTGTACTTGTAACGTAAACTGTGAATACAAATTGGAAAGTTGCATTTTCTTTGGCTAATGTTATAGAATATCTCCTTCATGAACCAGAACTCCTACAATCAGTTTCATAACTGAATGATTCATCAAAGAGTTTATCGGCAAATTTTTTGTTTTTAACTACAACAATGGGTGTGAAAGGGTGCCAGGATCGCATTTGGTATGTACATGTATATCAATAATCGAGACGTTCAAATTCGTTTTACACATTTTAATCTTTTCCAAACTTGGAAACGTATATTTATCCACAGTCAGCTGTACGCCTTGTTAGGGCGTGCAAGGTCACGGGCACATTTGATCTCCAAGCAAAAAGTTGTCAGATCTAATCAGCTGGCAAGTTCTGGAGTTTCATAATACGGGCAAGTTTAATAAGTTGAAAAATGATAACAAAAGGGAGACAAATTTAAGTTGAAGTCTGTTACTTGTGTCGCTGGAATTGTGAAGATTTAAAGATACAGAATCCCTTAACCTTTGACCTCCCCTGTTTTCGTCTATTTGCATCAAGCGAAACTGTCAGTTTCAATTTCTAAAAATGTTTGTAACAATTTCCGTTTTAATTTGCACTCACCGCGGCAAAGGTGTTCCTTAACACGTGCCAATCCGTTTTTGTGTCATTCCAAATTTTTGTGAAAATTGTGTTTGTCAACCGCTGTAATTACAGCACAAACATGTACGGCACCTGACGTCCATTTGGATAATTTCTTAAAATGTTTCCCAAATGAATCTTAATTTTCTCACGCACTCGTGATACACCTGTTTTGTTTTCTGATCAGTCGTTTGTTTTGAAAGGTTTCACACAAAGCAATGATCCGCTTTCGCTGAAGGTCCACGCACGCTGACCACGCAGCTAATTACAACACCGTCGCCCTTGATGATATATAGATTTCCAAACAATAACACCGAAAGCAGCGGAATATTTATTTAAGCCAAAAACTTATGTCTAAAATTTACCTCCAGTACTTGTTTAAATTTATAGAGGTTAATTTGAATGGTGAAAATATACCTATCGCGATGGAGTAATATTTTTCACGACCAAGATAAATGGCTGACAGATCGACAAAACACTGAGTATTTTTTCTATGTTAATATATTTAAAAGTGTATTTAATTCACTCGGTTTAACTTCCTCTCAAATTCATAAACTATTTCACGAGCATGAGAGTTTTTAACGCTTATTGCTGTGTAGATATTTCATTTTTAGAATTATGAGATGATATATTTGAAAAAGGTCCAATCTCTCAATCACAATGATTCCTCCGGTACTTCTAGATCAGAAACTCTTGCTACAGTGTTAATGCATGGAGTTGGAGGATGAGCATGCCAGATTATTACCAATAAACATTGCTATGTATATGTCATAAATAGGTGATGATGGTGGATGATATGATTGCATTACATTTGTGTCTCAAAGCATAGATAACATATGTTGGTGCAATATATTATCTGGACAAGCCACAAAATATTTATATAAAATTTATTTTCAGAATTATCTTTCTGGATTCACCGAGTCACAGTTAAAACACTCAGTTCATATAGTGTATCATTAAGTGAAACGTATTCACAGAACACTTAAACACCGTCGAGGATGTTGCTCAGTGTCCATGAGGTCTTGGTCTGCTCACCTGTGAAACCATATTTGTCTTTCATTAATTTGGTGCATATGCAGTTGAAATATTTAAGTGATTTAAATCATGTTTTCCTTCCTTAAATGAATAATATCATATTGTTACAATTGACAGGAATTTACACGTGTGGACATTGATGTTATTGGTAGTTTTTATTATTAAATATTATGATTATCAAAAATGAAGCTTACATTTTAAGGTAACTCATATTCACTCCATACGAAATTCATTTTAGAGGTTTCCAGCAATCATTCGCTTTTGTAATGCATCGAAAAGGATAAACTGCACCATCAAGAATATATTTTTTGATAAAAAATTGAACGATATATATTTTATGAACAAACATTTAAAAATAATCTTTAAAGCATTTATGTGAAATCTTTGTGGCACAGTGTCGACATGTAACACATAACCCATTTGAAATTGACAAATCCTCACACTCTTACACATGCATGCGCGCACATACAGAACTGCCTCTCGTCTACACCTGCTTCCGTACCGCCTGTCATACGTTTCCCTTCCCCACCCGCCCCTTCCCCGGCGGTCAGACTCACCGGACGGGTAGGAGTAGCAGAAGTCCTCATTAAAAATGACACAAGGTTTTGTGTGAACCCCAGGGCCCCCTAATGTTGAGACACAAGTCACTAGCGAGGCTTGACGTGTGAAATCTATCTTCGTCAAGCAGTCGCTTTTTAACGAAATGAATCGCAATATAAAAGTTGTGACCACGCCTAAACTTCGCAACTACAGTGTCTGGTACAAGTGAGGGACGGGCAGATTTGCCCCGGGGTAGGGGGATAACGGTTTGGATATACTAATGGGTGATGATTGAGGTAATTATGCGTACTCTATCTCTCACCTTTGTCTCAATGCATATTGATTAGGTTTCGCATAACACATCTCAAATGCGCCGCTGTAGTTTATTTCAGCTGGAGCACGATGTAAACGTCGTTCCCTTGTTTCTAATGCATTACGCTGTCTTGAAATTTGTTACTTCTATAGATGCTATTGAGTTTAACAACTGTCGAATTCATTAATGCTACCTTTTGTGAAAATGTATTCATTTCGAATTATTTCCAAGACATTTAACATATGAATACTCAAAAATCTGGATTGTTTGCAGTTTTACTTGCGTGTAAAAGGAATGATGATGATGATGATGATGATGATGGTGATGATAACAGCGTACATATCTTAACAGTATAACATCAGTATTGTAGCAGAGACTGCCTTCATAGTATCCATTGTCACTAAATTTTGGTTTTCTTATTTGCATATTTTCTGTGGTCAAGTTCAACATGATTGCATAATCAACGACCTTGCAAATATGATATTGGAATATTATAACTGTAAGTGATTGTCGACTAATCGAACATGCAGATTAATATTTAAGAGTGTATATTCAGCTTCTACTGAATCCACGTGTAAATGCATGTCTGTAATCGAGGACAATGGAGATTGTTACTGGGTATTACAGATGTTCATGTCATTTGTATAATATAAGGTCAGTTGTTTGTTAAGCAGATAGTATTGTAGTAAGAAATGGACACCAACTTGACAACGTGACTGATTCGTACTTACAACAGATCCGTTATTCATTGAAACTCTGACCATGAAGATCAGTGCAATGTTCATGTAGCTGCTGAGACGGTGTTTAATCGACGTGTAGAATACCTCTATCTTACTGTACTTAACTCAGGAAACATATTAATATGTAAGTGTTTCTGTACTTTTGTTAACAATCGCACACTCTGAATTAAAGTAATTGCATAATACTTCCAGTGACTGCAAAGCGGTGTGTATTGTGTGTCTCACAATGTATAGCGTCCCAGAAGTCACTGCAATGTCAGATACCACACTTGGTTGTCTTTTCTCCAAACCAAATCAAGCACCTGAGTTAAAACTATGATTGTCAAGATCCACCAGAGCGTAATGTCCACATGCACTGACTTTGGGACTGTTTGTAAAGTCTCCTTCGTATTATCGTCAAATGATATTTAGAAAACAAACAAAAATATTAGCTTAAGCCCGAGGGCATGACACCCAGCTTTCCCCAATCGGTGCACATATCCTTCCACAGGTCCACTTAATTAATTTTCATTCTCTGTGAATGACCTACCCTGCTATTTCCAGTCTTTAAAGATGGAACGTGTTTTTATTTACTCAGAAAAAGGATCTTCTTTGTTGAAGGTTTGTCTAGTGAATGCAAAGCTATCCACGTAAGACACTGTATCGGGGCTTTTATTCAACCAACAGTAAACTGATCCTAATATATTTAAAGAAATAACAAGCAACTCGCTTACCCGACCCATGTAAATTAACCCTGGTGAACTATCGGTTAGGGGGAATCATTAAAATGTAAAGGAACCCAACCGCTATTGTTCAAGTGCCAGCCATGCGGTGTTCTCGATACCCGAAAAAGATTCCGCTTTTAATTACATTGTATATCGAAATTCATATGTATATAGGATATTTGGGCGTCAGTGTCTGTCCCCTCGGGGTATGGTTTAACAGACGTACACCATGTCGAATTTGTCACTACAGGAATTCTCCCTAGCTGTCAAACGCGAGCCTGGGGGTTGTGGTAATGGGACAGCATGTTACAGTCATGGTCGACTTGATCACATGTCACCTGTCACGTGACCAGGTCACGTGTACGCCCATCCCCTGGGCACACCACATTTTAACTATGACTAACGCAGTATGTCTCATTATAGCATTGTAATTTGTTATTTGAAATATTTAAAAATTGATCATCATCTGACATGTTGATATTGAAACTGAGTTCAAAGATGGCTTAAAGAAATGCTGCAAGCTAAATTTCAAAGTGAGCTGACTGTGTTCAAGTTCTTTATTAAATTATGAATTATTTAAAAGTACGACTAACGGATAATTTTGAAAACAAAAACTATTACATTGGGCATAACTATGAGACATGAGGTCGTTACATTAAGATCTACTTCTCTACTTGAAAATCAAAAACTTGCATTTGAAAATCAAAAACAGCCGTGTTGGATCTCAGTAGCTGATTTACACAACAAACTTAATGTTTCCATTCCGTGTTCAATCAGTTAACCTTTAAAATGCAAGGAAGATACAGACAGGGTAAAAACCCGACACACAGGTGTCCTGCAAGGAACCTATCTGTATCCCTGTCTCTACGTTCTAATTACAAAACTTATACACATTTTTTTACGTGCATAAATCTTGTAAATGTAGTCTCGTAGTGAAAGAAGTGATAACTAACACGTAACATTTAATGAAACTGTCACTTAAAAAGTCGAACCTGTATTTCATTTTAAAACATGCTTGTGTACATTTACTGTGTCCTGATCTGGAGTGCTGGTTGTCTCTGGATCCTACTTAAACTCTCCTAAAATATGAACCCGTTCAGTTTCTAAATCATTCTGGGGTCCTCAATGCACATCTATATATCATGTTCTGGATCTCGACAAGCAAATGGTTAAATCCAGGGATTTAAAGGGAATAGGATATTTTTTATCGCATTAGTGTATATCCTAGAAACATTCCTGTCGGCTGGTGTTTTCTATTTTTTATATGCCCGTACTGTCTATCCATAATCTTATCTTCTTGTTGAAACTGTGTCGATGTATCCACCCCAAAGAAACTCGAGGAAAATACATAATACTTAAATAGATGTGATCTGTCAATGATGTCCGTTGCGGCATTCCGTAGACATAACACGAACTGATGAACTGATCACTCCTACCGTTCAAATTTTAGAAGCGTCTGTGAACGCTCGGCTTTTTCTTCTCATGTGATATACAAACAGACGAACACGTATCTCCCAACACGCATCCATATCTTTTATTACACATGATTACTAAAAGAAAGATTATCATTTATTCAGTTACACAAACATCTATTTGAATATATACTCTATGCATAACTGAAGCGTCCATGAATCGGTATTGTATGCGTCACACATGCTGCAGTGGTTGGGTGTCCAAACCTGTCACCAAATTTAGGATGGATTAAGCCACAAAGTATTCCACCAAATGTTGGCATTTTCTCTTATCGAAATTCTATCACGAAATATAAATTGTGAAGCAAAACAGTACGTCATACCTTGTATCCTCCAATAACATTGATGTGATAAATCCCACAGCGGTGTAAAATCTCATTAACTCTCTAATCACAATAAACCTTCAAACCTTCACAATTTTGACGTTGTCATTTTACTTTCATTAATAATGCACTAACCACTAAATTATAATCAACGGCATAATAAATACATTCAAATTACGACACCTCAGCTGTTCAATCACTCAAACAACGAATGGAGGACATAGCCACAGTTTATCTCACAATAAGACTTCAAGTCATATATAAAACAAACATACAACAAACAACTTGGACATATTCCACTGACTGATGGTGTTGTTACCAAGGGCAAAGTCGTCACGGACACAAACTATAGAACAGTCGTTGTCACGTGACCATTTATCAACACATAAATGTCATGGCTCAAACACTTCTCCGTACATTTAGAGTCCTACCCCTCAGACCTCTACCCCTCAGATATATCTCACGGCTGATTTGACCGACCACAGCCCGGTGTCTTGATACACACATGCGTGAAAAGTGCCCCCAACACTCACCCGTACATGCGCCTCGTATTATCTTTGAGACATTTTACCTGCGAAGATCGCGGCATAAAGAACACTACTATAAATCCCCGATGCCCCCAAGTCTTGCTAGGTAATTGTATTTTGTCGCGAAATCCGATAACTACTGTTTAACACCATCAGATAGAACTGCTCATCAATTACCGTTATCATTTATCATCAGCAAATATGACAGGTACCTGGGTCTAACAACACTTATCTCCCTTGAAACCGCAACTCTTCAATCATGAGAGATCCTTTTTTGAGAGCAGGAGTATGTTTGTGTTGTTTTCTCACGCTGATGAGGTTGAAGAAAGTGGTGAGACACCACAAACTAAGTCCATCTTGGCCTACCGGAGTGTGGCTTTCACACGTCAAACATGGTATTTCAGATCTTTCGAGATCTCCTATCCTCGCGGACACTGACCCGTGATAAGTTGGGGTTTATCCATTATTAACGAAAAAATAAAACGCCCCGTCGGAATCAGGGGTTTAAGTTTTCAAGGAGTAGAACTGTAAATAGAAAGTGACGTTGCGTTATTTTTAATCCACCTACTTTCTTTTTGTCACGAGTTCCTATATTTGTCACCACAAATATAATGATGTGACATGTATGGTTAGAGGGAGTGAGTTAAAATTTTATGTCACATCGGTAGTGTTTCAGCCATATCGTGACTTGTATGTTAAAGCAATACACTAACGAAAAACTGATTTCAACAATATCTTAAAATCAATTTAACAATACATGTATTATTATTTTTAAATTTAAAATAATTTAATTTCAACAATAATTTAAAACAAAGCCAGATTACAACACAGAAGAGTTTAGTATTTTTTCATATTTGCTCATTTGTTGTGTAATATCTTAGTTCTTGTCTTCGAAAAATAATTCTGGAAAATTAATGTGTTTGGTTTATCACAGTGACGGCATGTTCTACCACATCTCCGCTTCATCACTTCACAATCTGTTATTGCATCTCGCATCTTAAAATAGCATTACGCTGGACCTTTGCCATTTCACGAGTTGTGTATACATAGCTAAAAGCTTTGCTTAACCATCTACTGTTGTATTTGTTTAACGCATCACCCTAGTCTAAATATGTGACACGTTCAACATAAATATTACTGCCAATGCGGAAAGTGTTTAAATTAGGCGTAAATTACCACCTGGAATGCTGTGAAGAAATGTGTCACTTACATTGTTG